TACGGACAGTTACGGACATCGACTTTCAAAAATGTTTTTGTCCTATAAGATCATTTAAAACAGATTACCCATAACAACTTACTAAAACCTTCCTAAAACTCGATAAAAATAGGATGACTTTTTGTCACATACAGTGTCAGGCAGTTCAAGATGATTGCAAAAACGTTTATTGTCTTACATCCTTTAACAATTTAATACTTCAATTTTAAAAATTCGGCCTAATTCGAATCTCAACTAAAGCTTACATTTAATTATACAAAATTACAATTTTCAAAAATGTTTTGTAATTTTCGAGAAAATTGTTACTTTATAAGCAAGTATTATCACGAATATAACATTAGTAATTATAGATTTCAACGCAGCTTCGGCAACAATTACTACGGCCATTTTTTTTAACTTTGAAGTAAATTTCAAATCAAGTTTTAAAGATGTGTTTCCTAATAACTACGGGGTCTAAAAGGTCGGGTTACCCCTCACAACTTACTAAAACACATCGAAATTCACTAGAAAATCCACTAAAACCATTAAAACCACTAAAATTCACTAAAACTTACAAACATAGATGGTAACACTAGAATCTAGATCATGCTCAAAAAACAAATATAGTCATTTCCAAAGACTAACGAAACCTTCTTATTCGACGTTTTAACTACTCACTCAAAACACTTTAGGTTGAAGGATCATTTATTCAACGATTTTACTTTCCATTCCGAAAAGACTCGTTACAAGCGGCTCTGATACTCAAAAAGACACTGTCTAAGCCGAAATTTACTGGTATAGTAATGAAGGGGGGCTCCCGAAGTATGCGAACCAAGATGGCGGACATCGGAACGTAACATGGGTAACAGGTTAGGGTTAGGCGATAATTTTTTTCCAATTTTCCTTATTTTAGTCCTATAATCAGTTCGAAGACTAGCCAAGAGCCTCCCGTAGTATTTATACCTAAAATTATGGCCTAACCCTAACCTAGTACACATATTACATTCCGATGTCCGCCATCTTGGTTCGCATACTTCGGGAGCCCCGATGAAGGAATAAAGAAATTCAAAATACCAATGGGGGTGAAATATCAAAGAGTGGGAACAACGGCTCGAACCAATGGGCGGTCCTCTTTATATTGACATTGATCTAAACTGGAATTTAGCCTTTTCGTTCTCACTTGTTACTCTTGTGAAGTATGATAAAGTAATCAAACAACAGTATCAAATGTTACCACAATTGGTAGCTTATATTGTTCAGATATGAAGTGAATTTTTGTAGTCGCAGTCGGTTACAAATCTCGGGTTCAAATCCTATTTTATTTGGAAGCCTTTCTCTATGTAAGGCTATAGTTCTTCTTATTTCATCCTATCTTAAACGAAGCACATCCTGTACTGCGAGCTCGAATACACCACTGTTACACAAAAAGCGAAGGCCTGTAAATGTAACTATAACCCAAGACTTGCAACCCAGGCTTTAAAACAGGGGTCGGCAATCTTTTGTCGTTCGCGGGCCAAAATCAAGGGTTGAAAGTCATTGGCGGGCCGCACATACTTTTAAAAAGTTGACAACCAATCGGATGATACGTTTTTTAAGAAAAATGAAGCAGTGATACATCTCTCGAATGTAATATAATCTCGAATAAATCTATATGAGATGTATCACTGCTCGATTTTTATTATAAAAAGTATCATTCGTTCGGTTTTCAACTTTCTAAAAATATGTGCGTCCCGCCAATGACTTGCAACCCTTAATTTTGACCCGCGAGCAACAAAAGGTTGCCGACTTGCCCTATGCGACGATTTAAAAAGACTGAAGAATCGTACAATTCAATATATATATATATATGAGCAAGTTTAAAACCGGCAAAAACAAAATGAGTTTTCGAGTTTAATAATAGTGGCAAAGCAATAGGTATTTGATTATATTTATACATTATATGGCACTCCGGAGGTATGTGCACCAAGATGGCGCACAACCTGAACCCTAACCGGGGTACACATACTATGCTCAGGTTGCGCGCCATCTTGGTGCACATACTTTGGGAGCACCCAATATATATATATATATAATTATATTGACTCTCGGATTGAAAGAAAACTTGCGGAGTCTCTCGACTGTACTGGTGGTATCCTACGTCATTTTAATTACTTTTATCCATGGCACAGAAATTGCAAATATGACACAAAACTCATTTAATGGCCTCTTTGACTTTATTAATCTGTGGTTTTTAAACGGGTTTCCGCGGAATCCTAGGATTCTGAGATCACAGTCTAGGACTAGGTGTTCCACGAGTTTGCATTCAAATCCAAGAGTTTATAAAAATACATTAACCTCAACCTCGCTTCCGTGAGATATCGCGTGTATCTAACAGACAGACAGACAAACAGACAAATACCTATCAACATACTTACCGATCAAGATCGATAAGTAATATTCAAATACCTATTTGATTCAAAAGTTTGCCTTCATTTAAAAATTTTCTTTCTTTTCGAATATTATTTTGGGCGATCCAAGAGTACGTGTATCAAATATGGAGGTAACTAATTTTGTTCGCATAGTTTACATCAAGTCGTGTGAAAAGACGGAATCCTATGGACAGGGGGTATATTCATTTGGCTAACACAGACATTCCTCGAATTCGTAATAAAACTAGAATATCGGTCAAAGACCGAAGACTTATCGATCGAAAGTTAGGGGATCCCCCATCCTTCACATTCCACCGGGGTACAGCTATAGAGAATGCAAACAGATACCGAGAAATGGCCGATATTGTCGATACCGATACATCTCTAGTCTGAATACATCAATACGATGAATTAAATGTTTTAAAAGCTGCAGGGTTTCCGGATTCAATTGTTTCTAGATAAATATGGAAAAAGTGAAATAATGGAAGGCATTTCCATCACTTCTATCCATGGCACAGACTATAGAGCAGTATTTCCAATAGAGGGCCCATGGTCCCCCAAGTAATGGCCCTCCAGAGCAGTTGTAGGGGGCCCCAATGGCGCAAAACTGACTTTACTCTTAACTTTACAAGAAAACAACCCGTTTTTCCTAGTTCAATTGCTTGATAAGGTTATTTTACAGAATGTTTCCAGTTTGTTAAGCAGGAATTGTTTGAACATAATAGAATTTGGAATCTACCAATCAAAATAACACTATAAATACCACTGGAATGATAAACAGTGGGCAATGATGAGTGAAAGGCTCAGAAAAGGGGCCGCAAGCCATAAAAGGTTATGAATCACTGCCATAGAGAATGCAAAGTAAGCATAAGACTTGTTCAATTTTGGGATTTGAAATCTACCATTCAGAATAACACTATAAATAACACTACAATGATAACAATTGGCATGAGTGCTCTCGGAAAGGGGCCCACGATCCATAAAAGGTTTTAAACCACTGCTAAAGAGAATGTAAGGTAAGCATAACACTTTTTCAATGGCCTCCTCATTCGATATTGTACCAATGTTCGCTGTTAGTTATTTCCGATATTTCCTTTCAATGAGAGTCAACAGTTTTCACATTCATCTCCTCTTTCGTGGCGTTACAATAATTTTACAATAGACGGAAACAATGACGTGCTAGGACTATAAATAATATTCAGTAAAATCAGTTACAAATAACTGTTATTAAATATAGTTTGAAGCAAGATTTATTAACCGTTGGCCAATTCTAACAATGCGAAAGCACCAAGGGGTTTATAAAGCGATGGGGTGTTAGCATATATTGAATGATAACATGTAATAAATAAAGTAATATTTAATTTAAAATGCAGGTAAAATTAAAGTCTTTGGAATATTCTGGAATCCAAGATTGAAGATATAACGCAAATACTGGTTTACAATCTAGTATAGTCTTCGTATACAGAGAGAGATGTGGAACAACGCATTAGCAGGTTGAATATACTAGAGCGATAGTATACCTAAGGCAGGGGTTCTTAAACTTTCAGTATTATGAAGCCCGTGAAGACATTGAATATCATTCACGGAGCCCCAAAATAAATTTAGAAAAATAAAAACAAAAAATGCCACTGGTACTTACCGATTAATGTTCATGAGTATATTTAAACGATTATTAAAAATCAAGGGGTTCTCAAACTTTTAGTGCTAGGAAGTCCGCGAAGAGGTTGACTATTAAGACGACATTGATTCGAAGCAAATTGTCCGCGATTTGTTAAATTCTTAAACTGTATCGCGTTTATTCATTTGCCTTCGTTTGTTTTGTTTTTATTCAAATTGATAACGCAGAACCATTATAGCATGATTTAAATTAGAGAGTTATCGATGCCACTTTTATCGCCGATACCATAACAATAAACAAACGCCGATACCGTTACGCCGATATTGCCAATATAACGATACCGATATTTGAATGTGGCGTGTAAATTAGTCGATGAAATCTCGTTAGCGAAACTAGGTGTTCAATATAGAAGATCATAGGCCACAAGCGCTGAGAGACTTTGGAACGTTTCGAATTCAAAATTCGTTTTAATTTTGATTCTGGATTCGAAGTTAATTGTAATTTTCTCCGATTTCCCGGCAGCGTTGTATTGGAGTCGAACGGATACCCGTGATGTGGATTTTTTCCCCCTTAGCCGGAATCCGGAGTCAAGAGTCGTAACCAGATGTCATTTTTTATGACCCGGATTTAATCAGAAATTTTTCCCACAGAAAGGCTTTGTGTTATCCCTCCCATCTGTATTTTTCCTAACAGTGTAAACTTGAAATATATCAAATCTAGTTTAACTATCATTCACTTGCATCTCTTTTGGTAGTAATATATGTGGATTTGTTATTCCGGATGCGGAGTCAAAATTTAGTTCTATCCGGAGTCAGGAGTCGAAACCGGAAGTCATCAGAAGTCTTCTCAAATAGGAAGACTTTGTGTAATCCCCTCTCATCTGTATTTTTTACTAACGGTGTCAACTTGAATTATATCAAGTTTCGTTTAACTGTTATTCTCTTACATCTCTTTAGCATTGATATACCTATATATATATATATATCTATAAAATCTCTAAGTGAGTCTGTGACCGCAAACAGCTCTTGAGTATCTGCTTTCCACTATTTCTTGGGGACTCGGAATCTACTTTGAAATACGACTTGTTAAAAAATCTTCTTTATGAATGGCTTCCAAACAACAAAAAAAAGAACAAAAGTCTGGGACTAAAAATAGGTATGAGAAAATTTTCTAGTAATTTATCTATTTTAATATATAGGGTGTCCAAAAAGTCTTAAAATTTTTGAAAGTTTCGGAAGAATATCATATCATTTATTGTTTGGCTCTCACAGTTTTATAAAATGAGGTAAAAATATTCAAACAATTAATGCTCAAAAACAACAACCCTGGTTGAAATATATTGGAAACTGACTTCATAACAAAATTGAAATTGTGAAGACTTTATGGACAACCTATGTTTACCAAATTTGAGCATTAATTCCAAGTAAAAATCCCAGAAATTGTAACTTGTGATTCCAGTGAAAATTCAAAGTTACTTTAAAAATCTGTAATATGAATAACCTTGCAAAAGAGCGATGCTCAAATATAAAGACACGATTGTCAAAACGAAGTAGTATCAAATCTTTTACAGTATCGGTAATCTTCCTTGTAAAAAAACTTTCGACCTTGCTGAACTCGAGATTGCTAAAATGTAGTCATGGAACTAAAATGTAACGTGTGTACCAGGCTAGGGTTAGGTCATAATTTGATTCCGATTTACCCTATTTTAGTTCTCTTACGATTTCGGGGACTGTCTGTGTTAACCAAGTGAATATACCCCCTGTCCACAAGTTTCAGTCCCTTTTATACAACTTGATGTAAAGTAGGCAAATAAAATTAGTCATCTCCATATTGGTACACACACTTCTGGAACGCACAATTTTTGGCACTCCAGATGTATTCGTACCAAGAGGACGCAAAACCTGAACAACCCTAACCTGCTACACATATTATGTTCAGGTCGTACGCCATCTTGGTACGAATACTTCGGGAGCAATTTTTAGCTTTAATGACAACAACTACGAAAACAACTAGATAGCGATCGGAGACCGCCGACTTATCGATCTTCCGCATGTTTAATATTTTACTTGACAATTTTGACAGAATACGTTTCAAATCGCAGACATGAAATTGTTACGCACACAATCGTTTGCATTACGAAAATTAGGGGATTCCCAAAACAGAAACTGCGGACTCAATAGCGACACCTCGTTTCCCATCACTAATTAATTAATAACTCTCTAATTATACGACATAATTCATCCAAAATCAATAGGCTTCTGGTCCGAGATATGAAGAATACACATGCAAAATTTCGCTTTTGTGAGATATCGCGTAACATACGAAAGTGTCTAACAGACAAACAAACAGAAAGACAGACAAACAAACAAATATCTATCAACATACTTACCGATCGAGATCGATAAGTAAAACGATCCATAGGTCTATTTTGCGTCCAATAACAGTTCAGAGACTAGTAATGGACGGGAGCAAGCGAGGATTCGAATCGTTTTTCATTGCATTGCAATAATTGTACAATAGGCGGAAACAATGACGCGCTAGCACTATAAATAATATCCAGTAAACTCAGTTACAAATACCGGTTATTAAATATAGTTCGAAGCAAGATTCATTTTCCGTTGGTCAATTATAGCAATGTGAAAGCACTATGAGGTTCATAAAGCGATAAGACAGCAGCAAATATTGCGTTTCGATTGAGTCAATGGAATGAGGAAAATCGTGCGGCCCGTGGAAAAGTGCCCTATTTGAATGGTGTGCGGCCCGCGAAACGACTTTTGAATTTCGTTTAATCTGGTTAGTGCGAGTAATTCTAACCCATTTGCATTGCAAAGCCTATGCTTGAGTAACTATTTCAAACAACGCATGTCAAAAGATCAATCAAATTTGTCTACAACTACTAGTAATCCCATGTTAAAGATGCGACCCGCGGTTTCACCCAGTTATTTGTATCTGGCTCTCCTAAATTAGAAGTTACACACCCCTGATATAAACTATCGAATTTGAATGGAAAGTAGCGGAACCTTTAGGCTGTATTTTCAGAACCATTACGTACAGCGGAATCCCGAGTAAAAACCATTCTTATAATGTAATACTTTTGATTCAAGGTCCACACCATATTCGGAGTATGAAGACCCAAGTCAGTTGAAACGCAAAGCAAGTAATTCTAAACCAGACGATCAGAACAGACAGGCCCAGTATGTACCAGGTATGTGAACGTAAACAAAATGTAATGCGGAGGTTCCCCGAAACCTATGGGATGGGCATTTCCAATCAAATATTCGAATCGAATAATAATCTATTCGAATCTACTAACACTAAAATTTCGAATCGTCGCGATCTTGTTTTATTTTGTCCACCAAAGGACGAGGTGAATTTTTGGTACACCTGAAGTATGTTTATCAAGATGGCGGATGTGTACCAGGCTAGGGTTAGGCCATAATTTTGTTCCAATTTTCCTTATTTTAGTTTTATTACTAGTTCGGGGACTACCCAACTGACTCCCGTAGTATTTGTACCTAAAATTATGGGCTAACCCTAACCTGAAATACATACTACGTTCCGTTGTCCGCCATCTTGGTATGCATACCTTAGGAATACCGAATTTTTTCATTGAAGCTATATTTTTAAAATATTATCTGGTATATGTTCCAGTGAGTTATTGATAAAGTAATGTTTTTTACTGTGTGTAACAACTAAGCGAACTGTCTCAGTGATGGATAGGGCTGGGCAAAATATTCGAATAACGAATAGCGAATCGAATATTAAATTATTCGAATGGCATTTTACTATTCGAATATCGGGTATCACGTGATCTGCTCCGCCTCGCTTAGACACAGAACGTCTCTGAACCGATCGTGAATTGCGCGAGAATTCACCTACAATGCTCGCTAACAGACAAAAGAGACAAATTTGAAAATCGTCATTGCGTTGTGGTGTTATTTGTTTTCTTTGTGTTTCAATCGTTCATTTCAATTCCCTATTTTGCAAATCACGGTACCGACACCATTTCCTAAATTTAGAAACGTCAAATCAGACGAGGTATTTAAAATAAATATAAATTTTTGCACTGATGAATAGGGCGTGACATTATCAAAATCGTCAAGAGAAGTAAAAGCGAACTCGCAAATTCCGTAAATAGAATTTTGTATTACTCGATAACGATATTGGCTATAATGTTTCGAAAATGTAAACATTTCACTCGGGATGCATGGCGGGTGGAGTGTAGAAATCGTGAACAGGAGTATAACGTAAAATCAATCGTGAATTTCGATGTAACAACGCTCACTGTCTCGTTTACGAATTGTTGTATCATCGGAAATGATCGCATTCGTTATATTCTGAGCATTTTTGCACTGATGAATAGGGCGTGACCTTATCAAAATCGTCAAAAGAAGTAAAAGTGAATTTGCAAATTCCGTAAATAGAATTTTGTATTACTCGATAACGATATTAGCTATAATGATCCCGGGGTTTCCTGAAGCAAAACGTCGTTACTTGGAAGAGTTAGTTATAATTAGTGCCTGGCCATCTATTAGGCACAAAAGTACAAAAGCGCATTTTTTTCAGCAATAGGTCGCATATGTAAATTATTATTCAAGAAGCGCTGACGCGCTGTTTACTAACGTAATCTTGTCATATGGCCATGCAGAAATGCCTTTATTGCAGAATTATTCATTCACTATTTTAAATCAACATTCGGGATTGACGCGATCGCAGCTTTGCGAGGTTTATCTGTACAGTAACATAGACACCATAGAAAAGCATAGCAAAGTTAATTACGGTATTGTCTTAATAAATATCTGCATCCGGGTATCGATAATACAATTACCGTTCGCTTAATATTGTGACGGTAAATTTACAAACGTTGATAAGTGATATGAAAGCAAACGCAAATGATAAAAATCAGAATAATATTAATTTGGGTTTGAAATCAATCCTTAATGGTTTTAACAGCTGTTGCCGACGTGAACGCACGGGTAAACCCGAAATATAAACTTCGATGTCCGCCGACCCGAAAGAATTAATACTTGCAAAAAGCAGAAAGGGCGGTATTATAGATTATGTATCGCCGCAAAAACGGTCACGGTGACTAAAACAATCAGCGATTATGACGAAATTAACCAGTAAAAAAGGCTTTGTAGCCGATTTTTCAATGTCTTTATTAATTTCCAAAGGGAGTATCGACCGACGTTCCGGACCTCCCGTTGTGTATAAAAAATATTCGTTATTCGACTATTCGGTATTCGTTAAAAATATTCGAATTATTCGATTCGAAAAAAATATTCGATTTTGCCCACCCCTAGTGATGGATTATATGGGTGCTCCCGAAGTATGCGAACCAAGATGGCGAACATCGGAACGTAACATGGGTAACAGGTTAGGGTTAGGCCATAATTTTTTTCCAATTTTCCTTAATTTAGTCCTATTATCAGTTCGAAGACTAGCCAAGAGCCTCCCGTAGTATTTATTCCTAAAATTATGGCCTAACCCTAACCTAGTCTAGTAGACATATTACATTCCGATGTCCGCCATCTTGGTTCGCATACTTCGGGAGCCCCATTATAGGCAGTAAAATTATTGAAACGAATAACAGGTCAAATTCCTGTCTCAAACCAAACTTGTTTCTAATCTATATTACAATTCTGTACATTCATTTTAAACAAGGATATTGAAATAAAATATTTTCCATTTAGAAAAAAGAAATGATTACGAAGACAGAGATTTCAGTACACATAACATTGCACAGCTTACTTTGTACGAAGACTTTTCTCCTGATGGAAGAACTACAAGCTCAGAAGGTAAAAGTAGAAATGCAGACTCGAATCAACTCCATGTCATTCGATTATCCGACGCCATATTGAAAAATTCATTTTAACCCTTTACCAGATACGATTCTCTTAAAAAAATTGACTCCGGCTCTACCTCAAAACTATTGAATATAAATTGTTCTCAATGCCGCTGGCTGAATTCCGATTCCGGATTCACAATCCGGTTAATAAAATTGACTCCGAATTTATGCTTCCATCAAAATTACTAAATTTACATTTCACACTTGACTCCGGGTCCTGAATCTTGTCGAAAAATGACTCCATCTCACTAGATTTTCAACCTGGGTTCCGCAGGGTTGCCGACACGTTCAATCCGATTCCGAGTGGGAACTCCGGTAAACAAAATTGACTCCGGATATATTTCTTCAATTAGATTAGCCATATTTGAGCTCTTTATATTTAGCGCCGGATTCGTAATCCCTATCTAAAAAATGACTCCACCTCTCTAGATCAGTGGTTTTTGCGACACTCTTGGGTTCCGCCAGTAGAGTCAAGAAATTCCGGAAGTTTTCACTTAGATCTAAGAGTCTATATTAACATGTGTATACTGTTTTAATATATTCAAATATATATCAAAGTTGCCATTATTATTAAGTTTCCTACAGTCCAAAGATCATTTAGTTTTGCCAGTATTAGGTTTGTTTTTGTATATAATCATAGTTTATACATTTCAGACAAATTAAAACACAAATAAACTATAGCACATGGGTTCCTAGCGCCTAAAAAATGTTTCGTTGGGGTCTGCTCCATCGAAAAGGTTTAAATAACCACAGATACTGAAATGAATTATTTTACATTCAGAAAAAAGAAATGATTATGAAGACAGAGATTTCAGTACAATTAACATTGCGCAGCTTACTTTGTACGAAGAGTTCTCTCCTGATAAAAGAACCACAAGCTCGGAAGGTAAAAATAAAAATGTAAAATCGATTCGAATCCATGTTATTCGAGTATCCGACTTCCAACTCCATATTGGAGAAATTCTGACTCTTGACCGGATTTGACTTACTTTTGAAAAAATTGACTTTGGCTTTACCTCACGATTTTATAACACCAGCCTTTCTCAATTACGCAATATGGAATCCAATTTCGGATTTCAATTCCGTTCAAAAATAGACTCTGAATTGATTTGATCCGCTAAATTGATTAAAGTTGGCACCAGATCCGGAATTACAGTCAAAAAATGACTCCATCTCTCTAGATCAGTAGTTTTTCAAAATCGGTTCCGCGGCACCCTTGGTGTTGCGCCAATGCAGTACGGGGTCTCGCAATTTTTCTTTTAAATCCGAAAGTTGATATTAATATATTTATATATATGTTGTTTTAATATAATCGAATACCTATTAGGGTTGCCTATAACACCAACCTTTATTAATGAAACTATCTGGAATCAGATTCCGGATTCAAACTTCGGTCCAAAAATTGACTCCGCTCCACAACTAAAATATTATGAATTTCTCAATGACGCAACCTCGAATCTTATTCTGGATCCAAACTTCAGTTTATAAAATTGACTCCGGATTTATGCTTCTATCAGATTGATTCAATTTAAACTATGCACTGCTGGCTCCGGATCCGGAATTTCAGTCAAATGATGACACTATCTTTTTGGATCGGTGACTCACAGCCACGAGGTTACCGACACGTTCCATCTGATTCCGAGTCGAAACTCCGGATATAATTCTTCATTTAGATTAGCCATATTTGAACTCCATGAATTTAACTCTGGATCCGGAATCCCAGTCCGAAAAGTGACTCCACCCCCCTGATCAGTGGTTTTCAAACTGGGTTCCGCGACACCCTAGGCTTCGGCCACAGTACGGTATGGTGGTTACGCAAATTTCCATTTGATTTTGCTCCAACAAAAAGATTGAAATCCCTTTTGTACACAGATATAGTAATGAATTATTTTACATTCAGAAAAAAGAAGCGAAGACAGAGATTGCAGTACAATCAACATTGCGCAGCTTACTTCGTACGAAGACTTTTCTCCTGATAGAAGGACCACAAGCTCAGAAGGTAAAAGTAGGAATGCTGACTCGATTCGACTCCATGTCATTCGATTATCCGAATACCAACTCCATATTGGAAATATTCTAACATTTTTTCCGAATATCATTCACTTTGAAAATAATTGACTCCGGCTCCACCTCAAGATTTTATAACACCAATATTTCTGAAGGCCGCTAGCTGGAATCCGACTCCGGATTCAAACTCCGGTTAAAAAAATTGACTCCGGATATATTTTCCATCATATTAACAATATTTAAACTCTTTATATTTAACTCCGGCTCCGATTCTTGGTTGAAATTGACTCCGTCTCTGGAAAACTATTTATAAATAATAAAATTTTTGCAAATTTCATTCTGATCTAAAAAAAAGTTTTTACTTCAACTCCTAGAGATTTTAAAATGCCACTCCGATCACGACTCGAGGTACAAAAATGTTTGTAGAAAGCGTTGTCTCAAGATTTAATTAAATTCAAGTTAAATCGGTCATGGAAATTACTAATCGTACGATGTATGTATTACAGAAAGGCTATTATAATTACCTACATTGACAGTCGATATTCAAACTCACACGGTCTTTATTTTTTGTTTCAGATTTTCGTGAAATCGTTATTAAAATATTATTCGAGCGGATGACAATGATAGAAAAGACAGTGGAAACTCTGAAAAATCGTCAGGATGGATTAGAAAGAGTGTGAGTAGCCATTTTGTAATTTTAACAACCTACCAGCATTTAGAACAGTGGTTCTCAAACTTTTTAAGCCTCGTCTCCTTTTTAGAATTTATCAAATACCTGGACGGAACGTAAATATTAAAATAAATAAAATGTAAATATACAAAAAAAATCTACCAATTATTTTTATTTTTAATAACTTCAAGCCCCCTCAAAAAATGCCTCATTGTGGGGCGCGCTCAACCGTTTTAGAATCATCAGATTGTTGCTTATGAATCAAAAAATAATTAAAATTTTGTGAAAGAACTAATTAACTTGAGGCCAGGTTCCTCCCCAAGATAATTAACAAATAACTAAAGCGCTTGTGAAACTTACAATACTTCTAATAGAAAAACTTTGCAAGAATATTTGGTTTTGTTATAATATTTGGCACAATAAATCCCCAAGTTTGACTTCGGCTCCGTTTTTTTTTTATAAATATGACTCCGGAATCGACTCCTATTATAAAACTCCGAACACCCCGCATCTACCAATTGCAAATCTTGCACTACCAGCACCAGTTGTACAACTTGGTACAAATTTCCATGCCGTGCTGATGAATTGAGTAATTTAGCATTGGTTACAATATATATATATATATATATACGCGAGTGTATTGCTAAATGATTTAGATTCACGACTTAGCTATTACTATATCCCTACTTGTATTCGGGCGATAGGCTGTGGTTCGCCAGATAATTGAACTTTCCGAGCAACTTTTCAATCTTAGCATTACAGTACTAATTTAAATCTTTAGAAACTCAGAAGCAAACACCTCCAAGCCCAAGAAAGAAAAGTCAAAAGTAAAAGGTGAATAGCTTCTGATCTTTAACTTATTACCTTTGAACCGTGAGTGATATTTTTCGATAAACTCAGCACGATGACGTGTCCCTCAAATATAGTTTTTGTTGAAAGCAGTTTCTCTAAAGCAGGGGTTCCCAAACTGGGGTCCGCAACGATGTGAAAAGACTCTAATCTTTAATGGTTGATTTTAAACAAAAAGCCACTGCATTTTTTTGGTTGATCGTGACAGTAGAATAACCATTGCTGTCCGAAAATGCTATTAAAATGGTTAGACCCAGAAATTGAGACGGCATAGTATGTTGTTCCATCAAAAATAAAATTCAAAAACAAGGGTGCGAAGCTCAAAAAGTTTGGGAAACCCTGCTGTAGGGCAAATTGTTCCCTTCGTCTATTTTGGGACTTTTTATTCCTTCCTCAGTAAGCATGAATAGTGCTTTATTAATGTTATTTTTAATGGATCCTTAGCCAGTGTTATGCGCAAGCCACAATTCCGCTTTTGTATATTTCAAGTAGTTTATAATGTGTAATTAAGTAAAGATTACAGTGATAAAAAGAAATATTATTATTGATAGAGAGAACCAAAGCAAAATCCCTCCCAAGAACGGCAAAATATCTCTTTGGGAAAGACTTGCTCTCCGGTTGAGATAAACGGTTCAAATGAGATTTAATTGTTTTAGTTTCAAACACGATTTGAAACTAAAAACCACTAATAAGTATAAGATATGGGTTTGAACGTGAGAAGTTGAACCTCAACGCCAACAACGACTTTAGTAATAAACCTTCGTCGCTCCAGAAGTATGTGTACCAATATGGAGGTAACTAATTTTGTTTGCCTACTTTACAACAAGCTGTATAAAGGAACTGAAACCTATGGACAGGGGGTATATTCACTTGGCTAACACAGACAGTCCACAGACATTTACCTCAATGGGTCAATAGACTTTTGGATAAATAGACTTGTAACAATGCCAACGGCACCCATGTAGTATGCGAACCAAGATGGCGGTCATCGGAACGTAGATGTGTACCATGTTAGGGTTAGGCCATAATTTCAGGTTTAAGCACTGCGGAAGTCACCTCGCTAGTCCACAAACTCGAGATATAAATAAAACAAGGAAAATTGGATTAAAATTATGGCCTAACCCTTACCTGGTACACATACTACGTTCCGGTGTCCGCCATCTTAGTTCACATACTACGAGAGCGCCATTGTAACTATATTCGTGACAATTCAACTCTACGTACCGGTATCGGCATTGCGGGATCTCCGCTTTCCCGCCGCGAATATCCTTCCGCTTCGAATTGTGGCCCCTACTCAATCAACTTTGGAAACTACCGCCCTAAACGAATTGAAATTCATTCCTAAACGACAAACTTTCGTTATAGATACATCAATACCAGGCGCTATAAAACCAATCAAAAGGCAAAAACGTACTTTGCAATCGTTACTGGATGAGCTCTGGATGGCAGGAAGAAAATCAAAAGCAAATTTTTGTTTGAGCAAGATCGAGAAATTGATGACGTCATCAAATAGACACAAAGCAGCCTAGGTAACAAAAATGGCCAAAAAATACATTGATAACCCATCCTATATCAAAGCTGCTATTCTGCTTTCTTGGGCGGCTGAGCTGCATGTTACGGACTCCGACCCTGATGAGGCTGCACTTGCAATCGCCGATTGCGCTCACATTTATGTTCAAGTCATCAGACATATGATTGATCTCAAAGGAAAAATGCACATAATAGCCAAAGACTTTGGTGTGGATATCATTCTAAAAATGCTTGGAAATCTACGAGGCATCACATCAGCCGATGCCGATGTTATGTTTAAATATGAAACTCGTACTATAAGTAACGTAGGTGTGTGCCATAATAGGTTAGGTCACAACTCAGATGCGATCAAGTTTTATCGCCAGGGAATGGATTTGTTTGAGAGAAAATACGAAAGCAAAGCAATGGAGCTTTATGATTATGGTACACTACTACACAACACAGGAGTGGCTCATTCGCATTTAGGAAATAACGCTACCTGGATGCCCTCGAATCATACAAAGCTTCAACAGACTGGAAATACAAGGGCCAGAAAAAGGATTTAATAACAAACACTGAGGAAAAGTTAAAACGCTTACGCCTGGAGTTTAAAAATGAATGAGCTTTATAACAATACCGGCTATGACCGTAATCCAAATTAGACAAGTTATACTCAAGCATAGTGATCTTTTTATTTAGTCTTCAGGATTAGTTATTTTTATATACTTTTTTGAAACTCTTATTAATTTCGTGGAAATTTCTCCCTGTTGTGACCTTATGATCTTAATGATCTAATCTGGAAAATTCTTCTTTCAAGGATGACTGATTGTTTTTGACATATCATCAATGTTTCAAAACAATCCATATAATTCATCACACACCTCGTTAGATATCATTTACTACATGCAGAGTCCCGTTTCGAGTGAGCGCTACAAATGTTGCTTAGACGTTATTTTTCTCATTTGCTTTGCGTTCTATAGATATGTCCAGAGTAAATATTCAGATTTTCAATATTTTAGGAGTTTATATTTCTTTTTTCAGTGTTTTTCTTCTCATGCAAATATATTCAAATGTAGCTGAGAAGTTCAATTTTTTTTTATTTTCCTTTTTTAGACGTGTCAAGAGTAAATATTCAGTTTTTTTTTCATTGTTTTTCCTTTTATGCAAATATTAAATGTAGCTAAGACGTTCAATTTTTTTATTATTTCATTTTTTTTTCTCTTCAATTGTTTTCTCTTTTTGTGCAAATGTATTCAACTGTAGCGTAGCCATAGACAATAAATTTAGGCGCTCCAGAAGAATGTGAACCAAGATGGCGGACATCGGAACATAGTCCGTGTACCAGGTTAAGATTATGTCATAATTTTTTTCCAATTTTCCTTATTTTAGTTCTATTACGAGTTCGGGGACTAACCAAATGATTTCCGTAGTCTTTGTACCCATACTACGTTCCGGTGCCCGCCATCCTTCTTCACATACTTCAGGAGTATCTAAATGTCTTATTTTATTTTCGTTTCGTAGACGTGTCCGGAGTAAATATTCAGTTATTTATTTTTTAGAAGTTTCTTTGTTTTCCTGTGTTTTCTCTTCCATGCAAATATATTCAGTTTTTCATGTCATCACCATCTTAAATTTGTTTCATCTAAGAACTTTTAAAATTAGATTGTAAAGGCTAAGGTTAGCGTCCAAAATAACTATATTGTGAAAACGGCGATCCAGAAGGGTGTGTACCAATATAGAGGTGACTAATTTTGTTCGCATACTCTACAACAATTTATATGAAAGGACAGAAGCCTATGGGCAAGGGGTATATTCACACGGCTAACACATACAGTCTTGAACTCGTAATGGAACTAAAATAAGAAAAATCGAAATAAAATTATGACCTAACCCTAACCTGTTACACACACTACGGGAGTACCGAGAAAACATCGTATGACTGGAAATGATCTTTTTAAGGTTTAAAAACTACGGAAAAATTAGCATTTTTTCGGGCTGGAAGTTTTCAAATGAAGTCGTATTGAAATTATTTTACCATAGAATTGTGCCCATTCAAAATGTTCCTTAGGCCCTGTTGGGAAGCATTGGCTCGGTTGTTATATTTGGATTTAACTATGTCGGGGACTCAAGTTAACCCAAATTTACAGGTTTTAAAAGTGCATTGTTGAGTTGCTGAGTTGCTTTTCTGAAATGATAACCCGCTGATTACTCATGAGCCATATACAATAATTGTATCAGTGATGGGCAGAAGTTCCCAAATCACGAGTCACGTGTCAGGTCGAGTCATGGGTTAGGATTCATGTGTCAGTTCCTTCCAGCATTACCTCGAGCATTTTTAGCACTAACAGTATTACTTGTGCGTTCAAAATATTTGCAAAATGTTCTTCTTAAGCCTCGAGACGACGCGAATCGCGAACAAGTGATGTAACACAAGTCCAACTAGAGTCGAGTCAACAAAAATTACGATTTAAGATAAACCATTTCAATCTTGCTTGACTCTTTATTCATTTTTATGTATGACACCGGATCATCAGTTATTTGTTTATCCCCTGAATTATTTTTGAATGTTAGGAGTAATGTGAACCATCATTCGAAACTCGCACCGGTCAGCACAACAATTTTGGCACACCCTGCTTGTGGTCGCCAGACAACTGCTCGTGTAGTTAGGGAGTGGAGGCTTCAGTTTAAAAAATCCCGATCTAAACCTTAATTTTACCGCCATATTTGATAAGAAATACAATATATAATATACAATATATACAAAACACAATATATTCTCTGTCAATTCGAAAAGATTCACGTCATACACGGTTAGAGAACCACTGGCTATTCCTGATCCTATTAGATCACGTTTTTTCATTTTTCAAATCGTCATGTAGATATTAATTAATACTAATTTCATACTGCACGACTATATGTCTGTGATTGATATGTTTCAATAGCCTCACATACAGATCGACCTGTTCTTTATATTCTTTTAAAAACTGTGTTTCAATGTTTTGATTCATAATATATACGTAATTAGACAGCAATAACCGGTATCCAGATTTTAAACTTTCTTAAGACGAACGCTACAACATCCACTTTTTCGGTATTCCCGTAGTGTGTGTACCAGGCTAGGGTTATGCCATAATTTTATTTCGATTCCACTTCTTTTAGTTCTATTACGAGTTCGGAGACTGTCTGTTGTTATTGAAATGAATATATCCCATAGGTTTCAATCCCTTCACACAACTTCATGTAAAATAGGCGAACAAAAATAGTTACCCCCGTATTGGTACACACACTTTTGAAGCACCCACTTTTCTATTGTGGTGTATTGTGCGCGTCGAATCGAATTCGGCTAACGTCGTTTCCAATGTAGATTATTTTGGATTCAGCCAACTTTTTGAATGTGGTTAATTTCAAACTTAGCCAACCATGCAGACAATTTCTAATTTGAATATTTCATTTTAGCCACTTTGCCACTGTGGTGCAATATGCGTGTTTATCACTAAAATACTATTCTATTTTTCTCAGTACATGAAAATACGAATTGACACATTTTAAAGAAACCATGCCCATCCGTAGTCGATTCGGCTTCAAATTTTTTCAGTGCTATTAGCTTAATGATGATTTGACTGAAAATTGTTGTATAAGTGAATTAAATGTGAGACAAGAGGCAGAAGTGGCTAAAAATGGAAAGTGGGAAAAGCTGAAAAAGTTTAACAAGAGGGACAAGTTGGGGAAGAAGGACAAGTGGGACGAATGGAAAAAGTTGGACAAGTGGGACAAGGAGAATAAGTGGGACCGGTGTGACAAATGGGGAAAGTGGGACAAGCTGGAAAAGTTGGACAAGGCGAAAAAGCGAGTAAAGTGGGACAAGTGGGAAAAAGGGGACAAGTGCGACAGATGAGACAAGTTGGACAGGTGGGACATGTGCGACAATTGGTACATTTAGGACAAGTGGAACTAGGGGTACAACTTGGACAAGAGAGGCAAAGGGTACAAGTTGTGCAATTGTTGAACGAATGGAATAAACTGAAAAAACAAATGGGACAGGTGGGATTTAACGTAAAAGGTTTGCATATATTGAAAAACCTTTTTGCATGTTCGTTCAAAAAATAAAATAACTCTTCAAGCATGATTAAAGCGAAACGATTTGAATATTAAGAACAATTAATGACGTTTATCTGTATATACTTTCATGCAAACGTTACGCTTAATTTTTGAAGTATGCTATTTATATTATCAATATCATACATCTATATTTGACAGTTCAAGTCGGCAGTGACACGCAATGTTTGTTGTGTATAATCAAACGCTTATCCTTATCTCCAATGTTATATAATGTTTTGTTTAATCTTTGTCCAAGGAATTCGTGCACGCATCTGTTCACGTAATTTGCAATACAATTTGCATGTAGATGCAATACCTACAATAGAACACTTGTGCAAATACCTCCTGATTTTAGAATTTAACCGAATCTTTTTTCCGAATCAAATCTCAAATACTTGAAATGCAAATGCATGTGTATGTGACTCTTTTATTATGAAAGGTCTTCCAGACAAATAGAGGTCACGGGCCTCTTAATAGAATACAATCCTGATAGAATCCAAATCAGTCCTAACAAAATTCGCAATAGCACAAAAATAGCGCAATGAAAACATACTCTGTATCAAACATCAAGTCAAACTGTGACGATGACACCACCACGGAGCATGGCATTCCGTGACATGCTTTGTCTAGCTGATGCCTGTCAATCAAGCAGATATTTGTGGTCTCAACAGCGCTTACTAAGTAAAAAATTGAATAACATTCCGACATTATCAGATGCAATCAATGGAAATGACAATTATATGGAATTTGTTCCATGCGAAAAGTTCATTTTGGTGTACTTGTTTATTACTGGCACGATGATAGACATCGGGTCAAGGTGTCTCATCGCCATTCCGAACAGTATTGTGAAGTTGTACTCTTTTATTATTGCATCACATTTTGCTATTATAATGTCAAATTTTTACTCATTACGTCACTTTTTCGTTATAAATTTCTTTGTAAATGGACGTCACATTTATATTATGTAAATTTTTTTTAAGAGAGTACGTCACATTCTGCAATAAAAGAGTCACATTTCGGGCACTATGACGTCGAAATATTGGTTTATGACGTCACATTTTTGTCTATGACATTTCTTTCAATATAATATAAATTTTACTTTTTATTTTTTATCGATACTTTTATACTATGCTTCGAATTCCAAACATCAGGATGTAAATTGTGATGAAACATCTATTCAGTTCTGATAAAAATATTACCCTTGACGCAATTACGTGGACACTTAAATGAGGATAATTCCACGTCCTTTCAGTGAACCTACATCGAACTTAATTATATCTAATTATATAAAGCGTTTATACTTAAAGACGTTTCGATTGTTTCCAAAACAAACTTTATCCTTCAATGGTTTATACTGATTGGAATAATCCATGACAATTATAAGATTTACTCAGACAAAATCACAAACAGAAACGTTAGATTAGTTTCAGTTAGGTTCTCTCAGAACAAGATTATATTTATGAAACGTCCGGAGTATTTGGGATCAAGTCAGACCATCAAATTCAAAACATTTTGGGACCTCCTGAAGTATGTGCACCAAGATGGCGCACAGCCTGAACTCAGGTTGTGTACCACAGTGGTTTCACAATCTTTCTACCCTGGCGGACCGGTAAAATTAAATTAAATGTACTCGGGGACCAGCAAAAATTGAAATGACCGGAACAGAAAAGAACAACAATGCGTAATATATTGCATTGTCGGGCACTCAATATGCTTCTAGACAAAAAATGCACGCTTAAAAACATTTCAAACGGAGTAAAACTATCAAATGATGTGCTGGTCAAAAATTGAAATGGGTTAAACATAAAATAATACCATATACCGGAATTTGCGTAATTAAATGCAGTGTTCGGCACCCATTATGCGTAAGAAAGACACGCATAAAATATCCCGCATGAAAAACACATAATACATGCCAAAACATGTACAAACACAATTAATTCTAGTGAAGATTTTGCTGCTGTTTCGTTTCCAATATAGGATTACAAACGAGGCCTCAAAGAAGTTATGCAATCTGACTACGCCCTTCCTAAGCCCATTTTAAAGCCAAAATCACATTCCTCTATCTCTAATCATATAGCATCGGTACTTAACTCTTTGGTTGAAGAGAAGCCACACACAAGTCTCAACTTTCTATTTAAGGGGGTGTTTATCCATATTTCAGAGGCTGGTAGATATTTTGTTATTGGCGTTAAAACTATTTTGTAACTTGTCAGTTGTTCTCAAACAGTGGGGCCCCTCACAAGGGGCATCGACAATTTTTCAAGGGAGCGTTAAGTTAATTAAAAATAAAAATATAGCTTAGATTTGATTTTGTCCGCCTTGTTTGGAATATTTACATTTGTTATATATTTAATATTCAGGTTCCACCACGTATTTTCAAAGTTTTTTTTAAAAAACATACTTTCGCCTTACTATATGTTGTTTGTAGATTGTGAGGTAGTTATTTTGGGGATGGGGGGGCGAGACTTCTTAAAAGGTGCGAGGCTGAAAATGTTTGAGAACCCCTTTTCTAGATATTCAAATACAATTTCATTTACGTTGAGAATGAAAGTGCGGTTTCCCACTTAAAATTAGGAAGGTGTATGAAATTTTTAGGCGATGTGTTCACTTCTGGAGGGTGTAAGAAAATTTACTGAATTTTATTTATAGTGCCTGAACGTCATTGTTTACGTCTATCGTTTAAGTCATTGTTTACGTCTATTCTAAAAAAAAAATGTGTGTTTGAAATATTTTAGTCGAGGTATACTCCTCTTGAGAGTGTATGGAAATTACTGAACACAAGTATGCCAAATCATTTGCTTCTCCATTTCTACAGAGTATTTTTCCGAGTGATGGCGTGTGAACCATCATAAAATACTGGAACCATATGTTTCCAAAAATGTGTGGCAGTGGCTATTTTTCAAAAGTCTTGTTATAAAGCCTTACTTTAGTCTCATGAAACGTCACAGAAGTATGTTAGTGTTCAGAAAGACTTTTAAGTCACTTCTAGTAGGTATCATATATAATTATTTCATGGGTACTCTCGTAGTATGTGTAACACATTAGAGTTAGGCCAATATTTTAAAAACGATTCTTCGTTGCTTTATTACAAATATTATATTGGAATTTCAATTTCAATGTAATTAGTTATTTATCACAAGTGACTGACTTTCTGAGAATTTATATAATCTGACTACGCCCTTCCAACGCCCATTTTAAAGCCAAACGCACATTCCTCTATCTCTAATCATATGGAATCGGTATTTAACTCTTTGGTTGAAGAGAAGCCACACACAAGTCTCAACTTTCTATTTAAGGGGGTGTTTCCATATTTCAGAGGCTGGTAGATATTTTGTTATTGGCGATAAAACTATTTTGTAACTTGTCAGTTGTTCTCAAACAGTGGGGCCCCTCACAAGGGGCATCGACAATTTTTCAAGGGAGCGTTAAGTTAATTAAAAATAAAAATGTATCTTAGATTTGATTTTGTCCGCCTTATTTGGAATATTTACATTTGTTATATATTTACCATTCAGGTTCCACCCCGTATTTTCAAAGTTTTTTTTAAAAATCATACTTTCGCCTTACTATATGTTGTTTGTAGTTGATTGTGAGGTAGTTATTTTTGGGATGGGGGGCGAGACTTCTTAAAAGGTGCGAGGCTAAAAATGTTTGAGAACCCCTTTTCTAGATATTCAAATACAATTTCATTTACGTTGGGAATGAAAGTGCGGTTTCCCACTTAAAATTAGGAAGATGTATGAAATTTTTAGGCGATGTGTTCACTTCTGGAGGGTGTAAAAAAATTTACTGAGTTTTATTTATAGTGCCTGAACGTCATTGTTTACGTCTATCGTTTAAGTCATTGTTTACGTCTATTCTAAAAAAATTGGGTGCTCCAGAAGCAAGCGCACCAAGATGTCGTACAACCTGAATCCTAACCGGTACACACATACTACTTTCAGGTTGTGCGCCATCTTGGTGCGCATACTTCAGGAGGTCCAAAAATTGTGTGTTTGAAATATTTAAGTCGAGGTATACTCCTCTTGAGAGTGTATGGAAATTACTGAACACAAGTATGCCAAATCATTTGCTTCTTCATTTCTACAGAGTATTTTTCCGAGTGATGGCGTGTGAACCATCATAAAATACTGGAACCATATGTTTCCAAAAATGTGTGGCAGTGGCTATTTTTCAAAAGTCTTGTTATAAAGCCTTACTTTAGTCTCATGAAACGTCACAGAAGTATGTTAGTGTTCAGAAAGACTTTTAAGTCACTTCTAGTAGGTATCATATATAATTATTTCATGGGTACTCTCGTAGTATGTGTAACACATTAGAGTTAGGCCAATATTTTATCCCGATTTTCTTTATTTTAGTTCTGCTACGAGTTCGGGCACTGTTTGAGTTAGCCAAATGAATATACCCCCTACCAATAGGTTTCAGTTTCTTTGTATAACTTTATGTAACGTCTGCGAACAAAATTAGTTACCTCCATATAGGTACACACACTTCTGGGTCGCCCATTTTATGTCTAATAATGAAAATTGTTGCCTTATTGAACTATAGCTTGAGAAATTCAACAAAACAACAGTGGAATTCAAAAGACCATGTAATTAAAAAAAATCACAAATGATTTTTTAAGAACTTCGCTAACCTGGTCACGCCCTACCAACGCACATTTTTGAAAAGAAACAATTTTTATTGTTGTGATCTATATCAGCTCTACAGCGCCATGTCATGGTTCTGACCAAAAAGCAACTTAACACCAAGATTTGCAAAGAAGGAGGATAAACATGTACTGAAATAGAGCGTTTGCTAAGACTAATACGATTTTTAAAAATCGTGATTTTTTTCTGTCTGTATTTGCTACACACTTTATCACATTCCTGGGTGATGTAGGGTAATCAGTAATCAGTAATTTATTTTTTCACCATTCTAAAGCACACAATGTGAATACACAATACAAGAAATAGGAAATATGGTACTTTAGGGTGAAGGGAGGCGCGAGACACCAAGACTGGTGATCGAGCAGCGACACCCATGACAAGTCTAACAGTAATAGATAAATAACAGTAATATATAAATGAAACAAACAATAAATATTAGAACAGGTTTACGTTAAAGTAAGTCGAGGCGACGTGCATACCCAAAAGACACCCGATCCAAGGTGAAACGGATAACGACTCCGAGCACCGTCTTGTGAGTAACCATGGCAACGTCAGCGAAATCTTATACTGCGGAATACAGACACTGCCTGAGTTGAGCTTGAATTCATGTTTATCCCGCGAGGGGAAGCCGATAACTTGGCATATTTATATTATTATAAAATAGTTTTGTTTGTCGCAGTTAGGGATACGAGAGTGTGTAAACAAGTGGAAGTATAGTGGTAAGGTGCTTTGGTGCCGGAGACGTCGTGTGAAGAGGGAAGAGCCTAAGGACCCAACCTGACGTTAACAGGTAAAAAATAATAAAATTTAATTGGCGATTGAAAATAATCGACAAAATAAATAAATGTGGAAGTAAATAGTATTGCTAGTTAGACAAAATATGTACATAAAGAAACTAGTATATTAGAAAATTTTAGTCCATCATTGAAAACATGAATGCAGTAAACACTTTACGGTATCGGTACCCAAGCAAACAGTATATGGAAAAGACATTAATTTAGTAAGTTGCAATATCATTAAAATTTTGAAATTGGTGAGTATACTGGCACTTGACAAAGACATAAAGGATAGCTAAGTATTTGTACACAATCTGAGACCAAAATATGGATCATGGGTGAAGTGACCCACCGGTATAGACTACCGGTATGGTTTGGATCCAAGATAACCCGTCTGAGCCTGATGTTGGCAAGATGAATAGTTTGGTTATTGTATGAGTGGCACATGGCTATGCACTGACACGGTGGGGGAAATAACAAGTTCAAGATTTACAGAGTCTCTATCTATTTCAGTTACTGTGGACTGTGGGTGAAGTCAAGTGTTGAGCTGACAATGACAAGGGGTGGAGGGTGTCAGCACATCAAACAGATGTGGTGACCCGAGACAGGTAAGATGAAAGCATGACCTTCTTATATTTTATTTTAAAAGAGACATATGTGCTTTCACGTAAACTTTGTGGAATACTATTCCATATTATGACACCTTTGTATTTCAGGGAATTTTGAGATTTGCTCAGTGAAAAGCGAGGTACAAAAAAATTGGACTTGGTTGAAGAGCGAGTGTTGTGTTCATGCACAGAGGTAAGCGAAACAAAATAATTGTCGAAAGCTGTGGGCAAGTGGTTGTTTTGAAATTGGTGCATAACTTTGGAGATCTCTAGAGTGTGAATGTCAGATAGTTTTAACACCCTTGTTTTATGGTATAGGGTGTTTAGGTTTGTACGAATAGATGCTCTAGAGAGGGTTCTAACAGCTTTATTCTGTAAGATCTCTAATTTATGAATGTTAGTTTGCGCTGCTGAGCCCCAAGCGGTTATGGCATATTGTATGTGGGATTGAAAGAGAGCAAAGTAGACAGTTCGCAGGGTGGCATCCTGGACATAATGTCTGAGTTTTCCCAATATCCCAACCGATCTCGACAATTTCTTATGTAATTCGATAGTATGGGTGTTCCATTTTAAATTATTATCTATATGGAGCCCGAGATATTTATAGGATTGGACGACTTCCAAGGCAACCCCCCTGATTTTGATTAGAATGTTGGCATGTGTTAGCGTTTTTCGGCTGAAAACCATGACTTTAGATTTTTCGACATTTACAGTAAGTTTGTTGCATAACATCCACTCATATATTTTATTTATTTCTGAGTTTACAGTGTGTTGGAGTGTGGTCAAGTCTTTTCCACTAGCAAGCAGGCAGGCATCATCGGCGAAGAGCTTGGTTAGAAGATTAGAGCAGTTCGACAAGTCATTTACAGAGAGTAAAAAAGCCAAAGGCCCGATAATTGAACCCTGGACAATTCCGCACTGAATGGGCAACATTGGGGACTTATGAGAACCTAATTCAACAAATTGAAAACGACCACTCAGGTAATTAGCTAGTAGTTTGCTTACATTACCTCTGAAACCATAGTGTTGCAACTTTTGAATAAGAATTTTGTGGTCCACCGTGTCAAAGGCTTTCTTTAGATCAAGGAAAGCACAGCAGACAAACTCACATTTATCTATTTTGTCATAAATATATGATGTTAAGTCTAGGATGGCATGGCTAGTAGAGTGGTCGGGTTGGAATCCGAATTGGCATTTATTGATCAAGTTGAATTTGGTACAAAAAATTAGCATTCTCTTATATATTAACTTTTCCAGAATAAGACCAATTGAAGATAGAATAGAAATTGGCCGATAATTAGAGGGATTATTTTTGTTGCCGCTTTTGAAGATTGGTATAACCCTGGCAATCTTTAATGAGGAGGGGAAAATACCATAATTGAATGATAAATTAAAAAAGTGACTCAATTCTGGAGAAATAATATCTGCGACTATTTTCAAGAAAAATGGGGAAATACCATCATGTCCAACTGCTTTGTCCTTTTTCAGGTTCAATATTATTTGGTGAACCTCGGAAGGTGTCGTTTGCTCCAGAAAAAAAGAGTGCTGTGAGGGAGCACTCAAGAAAGCTTTGAAAGATTTCTTGCTATGTGGAATATTGTCAGCGAGTTTCTTTCCTACAGATGAAAAGAATTTGTTGAATTCGGCGGATATTCTGGCGGGGTCGGAAACTGTGGCACCATTTTCAAGCTCCAATTCAGAGACGATGGATTCATTTTTGGACCTAACTCTAATAATGTCATTGATAGTTTTCCAAGTGTGCTTCACATCCCCTCTGTTGTTTTCAAGGATATTATGGTAATACATTTGTTTTGATTTTCTCTGCAAGTGCGTCAAAATGTTCTTGTATTTTTTGAAGTGCAGACGCTGGGATGAGTTTCCCTTTAAGAATTTTTTTCTAAACATATTGTTTTTATGTTTGATGGACTTACGAATTCCTTTAGTAATCCACGGTTTAGAGTAAAGTTTATTTTCTCTACGCGAAAATGGTCTTAATGGAGCATGTTTATTAAATCAACCATTTGAAGTGACTAAGAAAAAGATCGAATGAGCTATTGAAGTTTTCCTCATGTATGCTAATACTAGTATAATTGTTACAGATCGACTCAACCTCCAATCTGAACAGGTCAACACAAAATTTAGTCATGTCACGTTTCATGCGAGTGTTTGTCCTTTATATTGCCAGTAGTTGCTGATATTGTGCACATTACGGGAAAGTGGTCAGTGAGATCACTGAGCAAAATAAATTGATGAACTGCAGAAATTTACGGTATTGGTGTTAAATATGGTCTATAAGGGTGTGAGAGGGTCGAGGTAACTCTGGTTGGTTTGGTAATGAGCGGGCATATAAAATTAGTCATGAGCATGTCTAAATACTTTGGTAGTGAGATTGTTATGAGAATCAAGAAGATTTATATTGAAATCACCTAATATTATAAATTGCTTTTTAGCCATTGTCAGCTTCTCGAATAGACAGGACATTGCTGTGGTGAACGCTGGAATATTATTTTTGGGATGCCTATATATTACACCAACAACAAGATTTTGAATTTTTGAGGTTGGTTGGAAGTTCTTTACTTCAATCCAAATGTCCTTCACAGTTAGGAAATCCTAAGCCGAGTTCAGGGCATGCATGATAATTTAAATTGCTATCAATATAAAAACCAACACCGCCTGCTCGAGTTGGGGATGGAGCATGTATGAAGGTGTACCCAGGGATATTAACATTCGCAACACTGTCACTTATGATCCTGGTCTCGCTTAAGGCGATGATTTGAGGTGGAGTACAAAAATTGGAAATCAATTCAACTAAATTATCAGAATATTTAGGTAATGATCTAATATTAAGGTGCAAAATGATGAACTCTGAAGGTAGAAAACTTGACGTTACCCTGTTGATATCAGATATTTCAAGATATTGACTTGGGGTAGAAGAAATTTCAGGGTGAAAGTTGATAGATTCCCAGTTTGGGTTGGGATCACTGTTTAGGTCATAGATAGGTGATGATAATGGATACAATTTTAAAGAACATGTAATAGATTGTGATCAAATAGGCTAGTGCGATGGGGGGAATGTCATAGCTTGAAATTTTCCAAAAGATACTGAAGGTTCTTAAATAGGTCATAAGGGGAATTAATAATTTACTTAAGTATAGCAGTGGAAAAATCATTGGACTTATCTTATTTTATCCAGATCGTCTTCATCAGTTATGGACAGAGTGTTCGTGTCTTTGTTCTTTTTAATCAATATCTTGCCATTTGATGTCCACAGAAGGCGTAACCACATCGCTTCTTGAGGACCTTCGCTTGGTAAAATAAGTTTTTATTTCTTTCGGTTAGGTTTTCAACCACGAACACCTTTGACAAGTCTCTTATAGATGTTGTATTGCTAGAGGTTTTAATCAAGTTTCGATTTTTGAGTATCTTGGCTCGAATTTTGCGGTTTGTGAATTTCGCTACAATTGGTTTATGGATGTTGGTATTCCTTGTTGGACAGCGGTGTGTTACGGAGATGTCTGAAGGCTTTATGTCTACATGGATAATTTTTCCGATTTGTGTTACTAGTTCATCAGTATCTTCATTTTCGGTTGATGGAATGCCATGAAATTCTAGGTTATCCATCCTAGATCGACGTTCATGTTCTTCTATTTTTTCTGTGACATAAAATAACTCATCTTCAAGATCGTAAACTAACTCTTCGAGATCTCGTATTTTTCTGCTATAAAGAGTAAGTTTCTCATCTGTAACTTTTTGCTTTGCAATAACTTCGTCATATTTCTCAGATTGGAAGCTTTGTGATTCTCTGATAGAAGCAAGGTCTTGTTTAATTTCTTTCAGAGATATCATCTGTTCCTCCATGCATTCTTTTAGACCTGGACTCATTGGTAGGTATTCTGATGAAAAGTTTGCAGAGCTGAAGTTTTCTGTTAAGCATTTGGCAATTAGGGATGGTAACTGGTTCATGATGTTTGTTTGTATTGCCTCCTGTAGGTTTATCTGGAAGTTAGAGTGTCCCTTCTGTTGTTGCAATACAGATCCAATTGGTGAAAGGCCTGGATCGGGAAGACTTCTACTCAGGCGTTGCTTAGGCTTTGGTTTGGTGGTATTATTGATCGAAGCCATGTTGTTGTGGATGTTTGAGATTTACGCTGGAATTTATGTTAAAATAGGCAGCGAAGAATCAAGTTAGACTATTCTGCTAGTTTAGGTTAGATTTAAAACCTTAATTATACAGCGAATAATGTAGGGGACGCGGGGAGTCCACCATAGATATACCGCCCGATCATCATCCCTTCCGGATAAGACCCCACCTCAAGTTCAGAAAAACACAATCATTTTGAATCGACTAAATATCATTTATTATGGGAAATACTAAATCAACTTTACTAGGTTGCTGTCTTAATAAAGAGTAAATTTTGGGAGCAAGAAATTCACACTTTTTCCTGCTACGCAAAAAGGCTTTTACACGATTAAATGTGGCCGTAGATCATATAGGATTTAATCCAAAACGCTATTATAGTTAGATCGAGCGCTAACCACTTGGCCTTTGTCATATAAATTTAGTATTTGAACTAGAAGAATATTAGGTATTGACAACACAACCGTCTGTTTGTCTGTCTGTCTGTCTGTCTGATGTCTGTCTGATGTCTGTCTGTCTGTCTGTCTGTCTGTCTGTCTGTCTGTCTGTCTGTCTGTCTGTCTGTCTGTCTGATGTCTGTCTGTCTGTCTGTCTGTCTGTCTGTCTGTCTGTCTGTCTGTCTGTCTGTCTGTCTGTCTGTCTGTCTGTATTTATGTATGTCCGTCCAACCCCTGTCCATTCGCCAGTCTGTCATCCTATTTATCCGACCGCCCGGCTGTTCTTCCTTCTGTCCGCCTTTACGTTTGTCTGTCTGTCCGTCCGTCCGCCAGCACTTATTTTTTGGGGTTTACACTCTTTTACCCGAAAAAGGCTATAGACAACCAACCACTGATATCTGTAGAACTACTACCTTTTTGAAAAATTGGTGTTCACTCTGAGTAATTCACTCTTTTTCTGCTACACAAAAGGGCTATCAGCTTATTACAATGCTCAAATGTGGATGTTGATCACATCGTATTTAATCCAAGACGCCAATATAGTTAAATGCAGAGCTAACCATTTGGCCTTCGCCATCAAATCTTATAATTATAACAAAAAATATACTAAGTATTGATAACACGGAAAACTGAATATATTTGCATGATAAAACTCTGAAAAACTGAATATTTACATTAGACACGTCTATAAAACGAAAATAGAATAAGAAATTTACCGTCAAGCCACTGATATCTCATGATGTAAAAGGCCTACTAATGTGGCTTACCATCTAATCTCAAAAGTTCTTAAAAGAAAAAATATTAGGTCTTAATAACACGAAAAACTGAATATATTTGCATGAAAAAAAAACTATGAAAAGAGAAAAATATAAATAACTGAATATTTACTCTGGACACGTCTATAAAACGAAAATAAAATAAAAAAAATTGAATTTCTTAGCTACATTTGAATATATTTGCATGAAAAGAGAAATCATTGAAAAAAGAAAAATACTCAAAAATATAAAGAAATGAATATTCACTCTGGACACGTCAATGGTGGCTCATCGTTGTCACGCGTAAAATTGAAAAATAAAATAAAAAAACTCAAAATAAAAGTAAAATAAAAAAATAGTTGTGAAAAAACATTAGGAAAAAAAAAAAATGGAAAAAAAATTAAAAAAAATGAAGCGAAAATAAAATAAAAACGAAATAAAAAAAAAAGCAAAAAAAACAAAATCGTAAAAAAAACGTTAATAAAAAGAAAATAAAAAGGTTGACAACGATGGGCCGCGTCGTGGCCCATCGTTGTCACGCGATTTTATTTTGAGAAAATTTGCTACTGCTTGGGACCAACGTTGTCATGCATAATCCTACGCGCACAAACGGTGTTTCCTGGGTTTCCAACTCACTGATTTTCTTCAATATTCAATAAATTCAAAACGAAAATGTTCTATAAATTTTCCACGCTACAAGTAATACCAGTAATATATTTATTATGTTGATAAGAGAATATAGAATTGAGTACGAAAATTCAGGAAATTTGTTTTTACGTGCAGAAGGTAATTGAATCGGAGAATGCTGCTCAACTGCTCAGTTGTCTAGACCAGTGGTTCCCAAACTTTTTTGACCATCGCCCCCCTACACTAGTTTATACAACTTCATCGCCCACCCGGAACTACAAAAAAAAATGTAAGGTCAGAAACGAATATATTACAGACCGAATAAGGAGACAAATCATGGTTTATGGTGTTTTTTAATGAGATGGATGAGCTTGGTGTTCTCCAGCGAGTTTTTTATTATATCTGAAATTACTTTACTGGTGGAAAGGCGATTTCGTTGTTATGATAGCAATAGAAGCACGGCTCAAAAAATCCTTTTCGCCATAATAATAGGTCGGAAATGAACGATTCCAGGGTTCTACCTTCTCCAAAACCGCTGTGTACTCTTGCCTTATAGCGTTTCACTCCCTAAATTAACCTCATTTTGCATTAAAATAATGAAAACGAAGTTAATTTTCTCAAAGTTATAATAATGATTCTAGTACATCTCATCTTTCCTACAGCCGGATGACCTGCACTAAAATACTTCGGTAAAATTCATCCCCGATTCCCCTCACCCTACCACGGCCTCCAAGTTCGATCACCAGTCCATAGAATTAATCAGCTATTTGATTTTGGATTCATGGACTCGGATGTGGAAGAAGTTGTGACCGACTATCGACTAGGGCCAGGGGTCGGCAAATTTTATGTTGCTCGCGGGACAAAATTTAGAATTGCTAGTCTTTTGCGGGTTAAAAACGGAACAGCGCACAAAAACTGCGACAATTCGTGAACTCAATTTAATCGCCTTATTAAAAAATTATTACAATGACATTTAATGTGACACTATCTTGTTGCTGAATCACGCTTGATAGCTTTACGACGCCAAGATTGGAAGATTTTCTAAATGGGCATCACTAATTTAGTTCTTTGCTTGTTCTTTGTAATGTCTCCGTTTCCGAAAATAATTGTTCGAACAATTATGTACTTCCAAACATCTATGTGAATATTCTCGCATGGTTTGTGAAATTTTGATAAAGATTTTCTTTAGGAAGATACACTTTTACAAAAATTACGCAGTGATGAATCTCTCAAATAGAATATGAATTTTATTTCCTCATAGCATTGCAATATATTCGAATATTTACTGCGCTATTGAACCCCTACCCTCAACATCAACTTTTTTTTTTTGTGTTTCCATTTGTCTAATTATAATTAAACTGTAGGATCGTTAAACGAGTAGCTAGCTGTTCAATAGAATTTTTATGATATAATAAAATTTAGTCTAAACGTGTCTCACGATAAATTCTGTTACGTAAGAAAATGTAATTTACTCCTCGCGCGTAGATTATAAATAAAATAAATTCATCGTCAAAACCGCCGTTTGGATGTTTACCCGGGCATAGACTTCCTTGTTTACATCGTGACATTGGCCAATCAGCAAGATGCAAAAATAAACGTAACAATTCCCCCCATTCGCATCCGCTCAGACAGACTTTCAGGCGTGGTCGTGAACATTTCTCATTTTCGTGTTTTTGGATTATATTCGTTAGTTTTTAGTTGTTTTTTGGAAATTTAAATATAAATCATATACGTCAATGATTACTTTTTCTTCCTATGAGTTTCAGTTTAAATACAGTAATCAAAAATTGGTGTAGAAATAGCTGTGATAGACTAGGCTAGAATTCTTTATCGGTACTTTTAAAAAACAGATTGTTGAATGATATGAATTATGATGATAGTTTGAAACAAATATTCCATTTTACACAGGCAACAACTCGCGAAACCACTCTTAAAATAAGCACCGAAAATTTTAAAATGGTAAAGTATAAAAAGAATTTTCCGCGGTCGAAGGACGGGGATAGGTCCATTCGGTGAATCGTCCCGTGCCAGATTTTTTTTACCCCGACCGTATTTTGCCGCCCACTGGGATACGCAAACTACAGTACCTTACTGCGGAGACGAGTCCAGCAATCCTTTTGCGTGTGATAATCGACCACGAGATTCAAGCCTGCGAATGCACACAGAGTACAGAATTAAGTGCACTGTGCGCCGAGCAAAAACAGGTTTCGCGAAATCGCCCCCCTATCGCCCCCTTCGACTTTTCGCCCACCGGGAGGCGATATCGCCCACTTTGGGAATCACTGGTCTAGACCAGGGTGGTGGTCCAATGTTGTCGGCTCCGCGGGCCACAAAATTAGTTTTGCTTTGTTCGCGGGCCATAATACTGTCAAGAATAGGTGAACAGTGCAATACAAAACAAACACTTTCATTGTGAAAACACATTGATCGGTATCTGTCATTTGTCAAGCTAACCCATGCATAAACAACTAAAAAACCTGCAAAAGTCTTTATATATATACAATTATACACATAAGCCACTGCAATATTGCAAACGCTTCAAAACGGAAAAAGTGTTTCCTCAAATGTAATTGCTTTCGAACATCGATAATACTTTCAAAGCAAAATCTTAACTTTGCAAAATGCTCATTGCTCACGAGATCTTTAAATGCCGTTTAAAGGCAGCCCATCGTTGTCAACCGTTTATATTTTCTTTTTATTCCTGTTTTTTTCTTTTTATTTTTTTTAAATTTTTTTTTTGCCGTTTTTTATTCCGTTTTTATTTTATTTTCGTTTTTATTTTTAATTTTTTTTTTTTATTTTTTTTTTATTTTCTTCCAGTTTTTTTATGTTTTTTCAGAACAATTTTTTTATTTTACTTTTATTGATTTTATTTTTCATTTTTTTTTTTTCAATTTTACGCGTGGCAACGATGGGCCACCATACACGTCTATGAAACGAAAATAAAAGGCGCTCCTGTAGTATGTGAATCAAGATGGTGGACACCGGAACGTGGTATGTGTACCATAATTTTATTTTTCCCTTCTTTTCTTCTATTGTGAGTTCGGGGACTAGCCAAGTGACTCCCGTAGTATTTGTACCTAAAAGTATGGCCTAACCCTAACCTGGTACACATACTACGTTCCGGGTGTCCGCCATCTTGGTATAATTACTGCAAGAGTATCAAATATAATAAGAAATTTATCGTCCACGGCTACGCTACAGTTAAATACATTTGCATGAAAAGAGAATACAATAAAAAGAGAAAAAACTCTAAAATATGAAGAAGTCCAAGTTTCATATTCAAACATAACCTCGGCATCGGCTGATGTGATGCTTCGCAGATTTCTAAGAATTTTTAGAATGATATCCACACCAAGGTGTTGCATACCAAGGTCCATTTTTCCTCGAGATCCTTCATATGTTTGATAACTTTAACATATTTGCGAGCACACTCGGCAATTTCATATGCAGCCGTATCTAAGTCGGAGTACGTAACATGCGGCTCATTCGCCCAAGAAAACAAAATAGGAGCTTTTATATAGACTTTATCAATATATTTATTGGCCATTTATGTTACCCATGTGTGAGGAGCTGCTAACACTGAAAGGATTCAAATCTGGGATGTGTAACATCTAATGCAAACATAGTTGATGTTCACATCAGATCAATGACCTAGGCCAGTAGTGTGCAAACCGCGGCTGCGGACCAAATGCGGTCAACGAGAAAAAATTGTTTGTCTGCAAAGAAGTGCTAATTTTGAATGATGTGCGCCATCGGAACGAGTTTTTAATTTAGTTTTATTTAGTACGGGTGATTAATTCAATTTCTTTGCAAAGCAAAGGTTATACTTGTACTTGTGCGAGGCGAACAACGCATGTCATAAAATCAATAACCAAAATTTTTGCGCGTGAAAATACTAAAAAGCTTATGTTAAATGCAGATGTGGCCCGCGGTTTCACCCAGTTATTTGTATTTAAACCTCCTGTATTGAAGTTTGCACACCCCTGATATAAACTATCGAATGGAAAGTAGCGGAACCTTTAGACGGTTTTAGAACCATTGCGTACAGCGGAATCCCGAGTAAAAACCATTCTTATAATGTAATACTTTTGATTCAAGGTCCACACCATATTCGGAGTATGAAGACCCAAGTCAGTTGAAAGGCGAAGCAAGTAGCACACCCCTGACCTAGCGCCAGACTATGATGGCATTGCAGATTGCACGTCCCAGGTTCAAGCCTAAAGCAGATGTAGCAGCAGTGTAATTTAAAGTCTACTTTTCATCTTGAACAGTTAATTAAAAGGATTATTATACATGATTATAACATTCTAATTTGGTTTGCGGGCTTTGCCAAGACAATCAAATGATCAACCCTAGAGTTTAGCATCAATTCCGGCTTGTATTTTCTGGTTCAACAAATATCGTGATCTCGGAATACAAATATAATAAATGAGAGTTTTGAAATTTTCATTCATTTGAAAACAGTCAATGTGTCGGGATTTCCCCGGAATTGAATTAAAATTCATTCATCTTTAGAACGCAGGCGTAAGCGCTTTAACATTTCTTCGGCGTTTGTTATTTTCTCCTCTTTCAGGGCTTCGTATTCCCAGTCGTTTGAAGCTTTGTATGATTTGAGGGCATCCAGGTAGTATTTTTCAGCTTCGGCATAATTTCCTAAATTCATATAAGCTGCTCCTGTGTTGTGTAGCAATCTACTATAACCATTGTGCTCCATTGCCTTGCTTTCGTATTTTCTCTCAAACAAATTCATTCCCTGGCGATAAAACTCGATCGCATCTGATTTGTGACCTAACTCTGAATGGCACAGACCTACGTCAAATAAAGTACTAAATTCTTTTTCAAACATAATCTCTGCATCGGCTGATGTAATGCTTCGTAGATTTCCAAGCATTTTAAGAATGATATCCACACCAAAGTCTTTGGCTATTGTGCGCATTTTCCCTCCGAGATTCTTCATATGTCCGATGACTCTATCATAATAGTAAGCGCAATCGGCGATTTTTTGTGCAGCCTTATCTGGGTCGGAGTCCGTAACATGCAGCTCAGCCGCCCAAGAAAGCAGAATAGCAGCTTTGATATAGGATGGGTTATCAATGTATTTTTCGGCCATTTCCATTACCTCGGCTGCTTTGAGTCTATTTGATGACGTCATCAATTTCTTGATCTCGCTCAAACAAAAATTTGCTTTTGATTTTCTCCCTGCCATGTAACAGTTGTGAAGCTCATCCAGTAACGATTGCAAAGTACGTTTTTGCCTTTTGATTGGTTTTATAGCGTCTGGTGTTGATGTATCTATAACAAAAAGTTTGTCGTTTATAAATTAAATTAAATTCATGAGGGCAGTGAGTCCAAAAGTTGATTGACCGGGGGCAAAATTAGAATCGGAAGGATTATTGCGGGCCGGGAGAGCGGAGATCCCGCAATGCCGATACCAGTACGCATAATCAAGAATAGTTGAATAGTCACGAATATAGTTACAATGGCGCTCTCGTAGTAAGGTGACTAAGATGGCAGACACCGGAACGTAGTATGTGTACCAGGTTAGGGTTAGGCCATAATTTTAATTCAATTTTCCTTGTTTTAGTTATATTACGCTTTTGTGGACTAGCCAAGTGACTCCCGTAGTATTTATACCTGAAATTATGACCTAGCCCTAACCTGGTAAACATCTACGTTCCGGTGACCGCCATCTTGGTTCGCATACTACATAGGTGCCGTTGGCATTGTTACAAGTCTATTCATCCAAAAGTCTATTGACCCATTGAGGTAAATGTCTGTGGACTGTCTGTGTTAGCCAAGTGAATATACCCCCTGTCCATAGGTTTCAGTGCCTTTACACAACTTGTTGTAAAGTAGGCAAAAAAAATTAGTTACGTTACGTTGTTGGCGTTGAGGTTCGACTTCTCAAGTTCAAACCCATATCCTATACTTATTAGTGGTTTTTAGTTTCGAATCGTGTTTGAAACTTAAACAATTAAATCTCTTCCGAACAGCTTATCTCAACCGGGTAGCAATTCTTTCCCAAAGAGATATTTTGTCGTTCTTCGGAGCGATTTTGCTTTGGATTCTCTCTATTATTAATAATAATTCTTCATATCACTGTAATTTTTACTTAATTACACATTATAAACTACTTGAAATATACAAAAGCGGAATTGTGGCTTGCGCATAACACTGGCTAAGGATCCATTAAAGATTACATTAATAAAGCACTATTCATGCTTACTGAGGAAGGAATAAAGAGTCCCAAAATAGACGAAGGAAAGAATTTGCCCTACAGCAGGGTTTCCCAAACTTTTTGGGCCTCGTACCCCTGTTTTTGAATTTTATTTTTGACGGACGAACGTTCTATGCCGTCTCAATTTCTGTGTCTAACCATTTTAAAAGCATTTTCGGACAGCAATGGATATTCCTCTGTCACGATCAACCAAAAAATGCAGTGACTTTTTGTTTAAAATCAACCATTAAAGATTAGAGTCTTTTCACATCGTTGCGGACCACAGTTTGGGAACCCCTGTTCTAGAGAAACTGCTTTCAACAAAACTTATATTTGAAGGACACGTCATCATGCTGAGTTTATCAAAAAATATCACTCAAGGTTCAAAGGTAATAGGTTAAAGATCAGAAGCTATTCACCTTTTACTTTTGACTTTTTTTCCTTGGGCTTGGAGGTCTTTGCTTCTGAGTTTCTAAAGATTTAAAATAGTATTTGTAATGCAAAGATCGAAAAATCGATCGAAACGGCGAACCACAGCCTATCGCCCGAATACAAGTAATATAGTAATAGATAAGTCATGAATTTAAAGCATAAAACAATACTCTCGCGCATATTAATTTAGCTTGGGTTTTAAACCAATGCAAAGTTACAAAAAGCAAGCAGCACGACTTGGGAAAGTGTATTTTTACCACTAGACGCGAAGTGGTGAAAGATTTGCAATAGGTAAATGAGGATTGAGCGGACGGAGTTTCATAATTGAGGTCGATTCCGGAGTAATAGTTATGAAATAACCGGAGTCGGAGTCAAACTTGGGGACTCTCTGTGCTGTTTTTTTTCAAACTAAATATTCTCGCAGAGCTTTCCTATTGCATGCATCGTGGGTTTCACAAACGCTATATAGTTATTTGTTGGATAAATAAGCGAACCGGGCGTCAAGTTATTTAGTTCTTTACAAAATTTTGATTATTCTTGGATTCATAAACAACAATCAGAATCAGTGGTTCTAAAACTCGGGCAGGGGGCGCTCCCTCCTTGTGGGCCAATATTTTAAAATAATTGTAATTTGTAAAAATAATAGAGGGTTCTAATAGGAATTGATCTTGCCCGACTTATTTTGGATATTTACATTTTATATATTTTATTATTTACGTTCCATCCACGAGTTTTTAACTTTTTTTTTGAATAAAACATACTTACGCTTTACTAGCTGTTATTTGTGGCTTATTGAATATTTTAAATTGGGCGCGACACTTGACAAATTCCAAAAAATGTGACGATGCCTAAAAAGTTTGAGATCGCCTGTTCTAAATGCTGGTAGGTTGTTAAAATTACAAAATAGCTACTCACACTCCTTTGCTGCATCTTGACGATTTTCCAATGTTTTCAATCTCTTTTCGAACATTGCCATCCGCTCGAATAATATTTTATCGACTTCACGCAAATCTGATAAAAATAATCTACGGGTTAGTTTGAATATTTATTTAAATAAACTTGATACTGATATAGTCTTACCAAAGTTGGGTATTAGGCCGGTATATTTTGGATGGGTTTGTGTAAAATGTCGCACAGCCTTGATCAAGTTGATTTTGTGATTGGGCTAGGAGGGCATTGAAATTACGGTAACTTTTTATGATTTAATCGCTGACGCAATTTTTGTCTGCGACCCTTTCCCAAGATGCGTTCCAAACTTTTCTGACGTCAGAACAAGTTTCTGATAATGATTCCCCTATATCTAACTTCAAAAATAATTCGAAGGGATGACCAAATTATAGATGATGTTATACATTAAAATAAATAAATTAAAAGTCAAAGAAAAGTGAAACGTTTGTCATCATCGAACTAAGCCTGCCCCTTCTTCTACACACCTTTAGACACGCCATGTTCCTCCCCGATATCTCATATTAGCTATTTCACTATATATATATGCCAATACTGCAAATAATAGTTTTTTTATATCACATATATCCACCTACTATTTTCCATGACAGATTTAACTTGAATTTAACTAAATCTCGAGACAACGATTTTTACAAATATTTTTGTAACCTGGGTAGTGATCGGAGTCGCGTTTCGAAACCTCTCTGAGTTGAAGTAAAAACTTTTATTTAGAGCAGAATAAAATTTGCAGAGATTTTCCATATTTGGAGTTTAAATATGGCTAGTCTAATGGAAAATTATATCCGGAGTCAATTTTTTGAACCGGACTTTGAATCCGGGATCGGGTTCCAGCTCGCGGCATTGAGAAGTATTGTTATTCTAAAGCGGTGAGGTAAAGATGGAGTCAATTTATTTATAGTGAATCGCATCCGGTAATGGATCACAATTTATCCAATATGGAGTTGGGAATTGGATAACCGAATGGCATGGAATCGAATCGAGTCTGCGTTCCTACTTTTACCTTCTGAGCTTGTGGTTCTTCTATCAGGAGAGAAGTCTTCGTACGAAGTAAGCTGCGCAATGTTAATTGTACTGAAATCTCTGTCTTCGTAATCATTTCTTTTTTCTGAATGTAAAATATTTCATTTAAATATCTGTGTTTATTTAAACCTTTTTGATGGAGAAGACCCCAATGAAATATTTCAGAGGCGCTGGAAACCCCTGCGCCATATTTGACAATTGTTCGAACCAGAGTTTGAATCCGGAATCGGATTTCTGCCAGCGGCATTGGAAAATCATGTTATTCTAAAGCTGTGAGGCGGAGCTGGGTCAATTTTTTTTAAAGTGAATTGAATCCGGATACTCGAATGACATGGAGTCAATTTTTGACCGGCATCTGAATCCGAATTGGATTCCAGATAGCGTCCTTAAAAAATATTAGTGCTATGGAATCGTGAGATAGAGCCGGAGTCATATTTTTGAGTGAGTCAAATCCGGCCGGCAATCAGTATTTTTCCAATATGATGTCGGGAATCGGATAATCAAATGGAGTGAATCGATTCTGCGTTCCTACTTTTACCTTCCGAGCTTGTGGTTCTTCGATCAGGAGAGAAGTCCTCGTACGAAGAAAGCTGCGCAGTTTTAATTGTAGTGAAATCTCTGTCTTCGTAATCACTTCTTTTTTCTGAATGTAGAAGGATTTATTTCAATATCTGTGTATAATTCAACCTTTATGTTGAGCACAATCAAAAGGAAATTTGCGGAACGCCTGGTCGAATCCTAGGTATAGTGTCGGATATCAGGTTGAAGACTATAGTGATCTAGAAAGATGGTGTCATAGACTGAAATTCCGGATCCGAAGCCAACAGTGCAGAGTTCAAATTTATTCAATTTAGTGGAGAAAATCATTCCGGAGTAAATTTTTTTAACCGGATTTGGATTTGCCACCGGATCCCAGCTAGCGGCACTGGGAAATATTGTTTAATCTATAGTTGTGAGGTATAGCAGGAGTCAATTTTTTTAAGTAAATCAAATCCGGCCAGGGGTCAGTATGTTCCCAATATGGAGTCGGGAATCGGATAATCGAATGACATGGAGGGGAATCGATTCTGCATTCCTACTTTTACCTTCTGAGCTTGTGGTTCTTCTATCAGGAGAGAAGTCTTCGTACGAAGTAAGCTGCGCAATGTTAATTGTACCGAAATCTCTGTCTTCGCTTCTTTTTTCTGAATGTAAAATAATTTATTTCAATATTTGGTTATAGAATGAATTACAGCAAGGTATTATAAATTAGAAACAAGTTTGTGTTGGGACATTGATTTGACTTGCGGAAAACCTTCTTTTCAAATTGCGTCATTATAAAGTCTAGTTCCATAGCTGATATCATAATTTAACCTTGGAGCATGGAACCCGCTCAAAAAGGAGATCGAATTCTTAGATATTTTACATATTTTCGGTGATTGCTTCAAAAATATCGTGTCGCCAAATTGTTCCAATTTCCAGCTCTGGGTATTCACACACAAGAAACAAGAAACATGAAAAAACAATAACTTACTAGAACATGTGTCATATATTATGTTTAAAATATACCTTTAATGAAAAAATTCACCTCGACCTTCAGTGGAGAAAATTAGCCATATGGCGGCGATTCGAAATAATCATCTGCGCCGATTCGAACAATTTATCATTCGATTTCATTTGAATATTCGATTCTAAATGTCAAGTCCTAGTTCTGTTTTGAGGGAATATCCGCATTAAATTTTTTTTACATTCACATACCTGGCGCATACTTGGCCTGGCTGTTCTGATCGTCTGGTTTAGAATAACTTGCTTCGTCTTTCAACTGACTAGGGTCTTCATATTCCAAATATGGTGTGGACCTTAGAACAAAATGATTACATATTACCAATGGTTTTTACTCGGTATTCCGCTGTATCCAATGAATCTGTAAGTACATTCTAAAGGTCCCGCTACTTTCCATTCAAATTCGATAGTTTATATCAGGGGTGTGCAACCTTCAATTTAGAAGGATCAGATACAAATAACTGGGTGGGACCGTGTGTAGCATTTTTATTTAACATGGGATTACTAGTAGTTGTAGGCAGATTTGATTGATCCTTTGACATGCGTTGTTTGAAATAATTAATCAAGCATAGGCTTTGCAATACAAATGGGTTAGAAATACTCGCACTAACCAGATTAAACGAAATTAAAAGGTCGTTTCGCGGGCCACACACCATTCAAAGTTGGCACTTCTCTACGGGCTGTACAATTTGTCTTGTAGATCGCTTTTGGGCTGCGGCCGCAGGCTGCACATCCAATAAAAATACATGCAATCGTTAACGCAGTTTAAACACATGGCTTACAAGTGTCTCTCGTCCCAATTCATGTCGGATATACGGTCAGTTAGCTAGTTATTCGTTTTAGATGCAACCTATACTAACACCTTACCACCTCATGTACCTCATAGTGCTTTCACATTGCTATAATTGACCAACGGCAAATGAATCTTGCTTCAAACTATATTTATTAACCGGTATTTGTAACTGAGTTTACTGAATATTATTTATAGTGCTAGCGCGTCATTGTTTCCGCCTATTGTACAATTATTTTGACGCCATGAAAAACGATCCGAATACTCGTTTACTTACTGTTATTGGACACAAAAGGGACCTATGGATCATTTTTGTTGTTGATATTGTAGTTGTTGTTGTTGTTTGGGGGAAAATTCCTGTGAACTCTATGAGATTCGTTTTCATAATAAAGTTTTGTGTGATGACGTTGGGCTAAAAGTAGGGCGTTTCAGAATTGTGTGTACCGATATTGAGGTAACTAATTTTGTCCGCCTACTTTACATCAAGTTGCCTAAAGGGACTGAAACCTATGGGCAGTAGGTATATTCACTTGTTTAACACAGACAGTCTTGTAATAGAACTAAAAAAAGGAAAACCGGAATAAAATTATGGCCTAACCCTAACCCGGTACACATAAAAAGGGAGTACCAAAAATTGCGCATCGTGTGACGGTCCCACAATTGCATTTTAGCGATCTCGTGCTCAGCAAGGTCGACAGTATTTTAACTAGGAAGATTACCGGTACTGTAAAAGATTTGATACTATTTCATTTTGGCTTTTGTGTCCATATATTTGAGCATCGCTCTCTTGTTTCCGCAAGGTTATTCAAATCACAGTTTTTCAAAGTAACTTCAATTTTTCACTGGGATCAGAAGTTAAAACTACTGGGATTATTGCTTGGAAATTAATGCTAAAAATTTGATAAATACAGGTTTTTCATAAAGTCCCTTCACAAATTCAATTTTGTTATGAAGTCAGTTCTCAATATATTTTAACCAGGTTTGTTGTTCAATAATTCTTGTATTCTTGTTCAATAATTCTTGTATATATTAATTCTTCGTATTTTTACTTTATTTAATACATCTGTGGCGACCAAAACAATAAATGGTTCTTTCGAATTTAAAAAAAAAAAAATTTACAAGACTATAGGAACACCCTATATATTGAAATAAAGGAATTACTAAAATTTCTTCTCATACCTATTTTTAGTCCCAGACTTTTGTCCTTGTTTTTGTTGTTTGGAAGCCATTTATAATGAAGATTTTTTAACAAGTTGTAATTCAGAGTAGATTCCGAGTCCCCAAGAAATAGTGGAAAGTAGATACTGAAGAGTTGTTTGCGGTCACAGACTCACTTGAAGATTTTATATATATATATATATATATATAGGTACATCAATGCTAAAGAGAGGTAAGAGAATAACAGTTAAACGAAACTTGATATAATTCAAGTTGACACTGTTAGTAAAAAATACAGATGAGAGGGAATTACACAAGGTCTTCCTATTTGAGAAGACTTCTGATGACTTCCGGTTTTGACTCCTGACTCCGGATAGAACTAAATTTTGACTCCGGATCAGGAATAACAAATCCACATATATTACTACTAAGGAGATGTAAGTGAATAATAGTTAAACAAGACTTGATATATTTCAAGTTTACACTGTTAGGAAAAATACAGATGGGAGGGATAACACAAAGCCTTTCTGTGGAAAAAAATTCTGATTAAATCCGGGTCATAAAAAATGACATCTGGTTACGACTCCTGACTCCGGATTCTGGTTCTGAGGGAAAAAATCCACATCACGGGTATCCGTTCGACTCCAATACAACGCTGCCGGTAAATCGGAGAAAATTACAACTAACTTTGAATCCAGAATCAAAATTAAAACGAATTTTGACTTCGAAACGTTCTGAAGTCTCTCAGCGCTTGTGGCCTATGATCTTCTATATTGAACAACTGGTTTCGCTAACGAGATTTCATCGACTAATTTACACGCCACAATCAAATATCGGTATCGTTATATTGGCAATATCGGCGTAACGGTATCGGCGTTTTTTTATTGATATGGTATCGGCGATGAAAGTGGCATCGGTAACTCTCTAATTTAAATCATGCTATTATGGTTCTGCGTTATCAATTTGAATAAAAACAAAACAAACGAAGGCAAATGAATAAATGCGATACAGTCTAAGAATTTAACAAATCGCGGACAATTTGCTTCGAATCAATGTCGTCTTAATAGTCAACCTCTTCGCGGGCTTCTTAGCACCAAAAGTTTGAGAACCCGTGATTTATATTAATCGTTTAAATATACTCATGAACATTAATCGGTAAGTAACAGTGGCATTTTTTGTTTTTAATTTTCTAAATTTATTTTGGGGTTCGGTGAATAATATTCAATCTCTTCACGGGCTCCATAATACTGAAAGTTTAAGAACGAACCCCTGTCTTAGGTATACTATCGCTCTAGTATATTCAACCTGCATAATGCGTTGTCTCACATCCCTCTCTGTATACGAAGACTATACTGGATTGTAAACCAGTATTTGCGTTATAATCTTCAATCTTGGATTCCAGAATATTCCAAAAACTTTGACTTTACCTGCATTTTAAAGTAAATATTACTTTATTTATTACATGTTATCATTCAATATATGCTAACACCCCATCGCTTTATGAACCCCTTGGTGATTTCGCATTGTTAGAATTGACCAACGGTTAATAAATCTTGCTTCAAACTATATTTAATAACCGTTATTTGTAACTGGTTTTACTGAATATTATTTATAGTCCTAGCACGTCATTGTTTCCGTCTATTGTAAAATTATTGTAACGCCACGAAAGAGGAGAAGAATGTGAAAACTGTTGACTCTCATTGAAAGGAAATATCGGAAATAACTAACTGCGAACATTGATACAATATCGATAGCGGAGGCCATTGAACCAGCGTTATGCTTACCTTACATTCTCTTTAGCAGTGGCTTATAACCTTTTATGGATCGTGGGCCCCCTTTCCGAGAGCATTCATGCCAATTGTTATCATTGTAGTGTTATTTATAGTGTTATTCTGAATGGTAGATTTCAAATCCCAAAATTGAACAAGTCTTATGCTTACTTGGCATTCTCTATAGCAGTGATTAACCTTTTATGGCTTGTGGCCCATTTTCTGAGCCTTTTAGTCATCATTGCCCACTGTTTATCATTCCAGTGGTATTTATAGTGTTATTTCAATTGGTAATTTATATTCCATTATGTTCAAACAATTCCTGCTTAATAAAGTGAAACAACCTGTGAAATAACCTTATTATACAATGAAACTAGGAAAAACAGGGAGTTTTCTTGTAAAGTGAAAAGAGTTTTGCGCTTAGCATTGTGGCTCCGTTACAACTGCGCTGTGGCTTCCTAAGGGGGTCGTGGGCCCTCGGTTGGGAATCACTACTCTATATTCGGTGCTATGGATAAAAGTGAGCCCCGCAGTTTTTAAAACATTCATCGCATTGATTCATTCAAACTAGATATGTACCGATGTATCAGGTATCGGCAATATCGGGTATTTTTTCGGTATTGGTATTTGTATATCGTAGTCTACGTGATCAATTACGCTACTATATACTTCTGACGTTGTTTTTGGAGCAACAATAGAATCCGTAAGTCGTACACTATTAAAACATTTATCGTAGTGATGTATTTAAACCATGCTATCGTGGTCTATCTCTACGTAATCAATTACGTCACTTCTTACGTAATTTTCTCGAGACAATCAAAGTCGTAAACTTATCACACCTGTCCAGGTACTTACCTTATTGTTGTATTTTCTGCTCAGCCGTCTAAACAATCTCAACGAATACTTAAAGTGGACTTGAAGTAGGTTTAAAACGACAGGTAAATTCTTTCACACACGTAGTAAGGAGAAAAGGTACTGTATACCGCAGTGGTCGGCAACCTACGGCCCGCAAATCTAATCCGGCCCGCGGAGTACTATAATCCGGCCCGCGACGTCTCACTGAATTATAGTAACAAAACAGGGGTTTTGACGATTATATTCTGTACATAACATAATTTATTGTAAGACAAGTGTAGACTAGATTATATTATAATCTAACAAGTATAAAATTCACAATAACTCGTTTAATGAGCCTATAATTCAATTACAATTAGACAAATGGCAAAAAAACGCAAAAAATTGATGCTCAATGCAAAAGGTTCGAATGAGAAAATAAATCTATATTCTATTCGAGAGATGAATCACTGCTTCATTTTTTATAAAAAGTATGGCCGTCAATGTCTTGCAACCTTCAATTTTGGTCCGTGAGCGACAAAAGGTTTACGACCCCTGGTATACTGCTATTGATCAAAGACCTTCATATTTGAGTGAGGGGGGGGGGGGATACCCTAGTCTGAGAAAAACATAATCGAAGAACTTCAGTTGGTCAGACAGGTAGCTCCTTTCACAACACGTTGTAAGGAGAAAAGGGTACTCTCTATTGCTCTTGTCTCGAGACCAAGGGAGGTCGCGACTAAAGTTGGTTATCGAGCAGCGAAAGATTAAATTTTGAAATTTTGAAATCTACTGTCTTGGACGGGGAGTACCGTATCGCTTACAAGAGGTGGTTGATTTCTTGATATTGCAATAAAGAGCCAAAAGATCTACTGCTGGACGGGGAGTTACCCAATTCAACTTAAATAATTGAAGAAGTGTTGTTCCGAAAATTAGTATGGAGAATTTTGAAGGTGACCTAGTGGTCATATGGTTAGGTATGTGTACCAATATGAAGGTAACTAATTATGTTCGCCTACTTTACATCAAGTTGTGTAAAAGGCTGAAACCTATGGGCAGGGAGTATATTCACTTGGCCAACACAGACAGTCCCGAATTCGTAATAGAACTAAAATAAGAAAAATCGGAATAAAATTATTAAGTGGTAGACGATTGATTATCGAAGCATAAATATTAAACCAACTTTCTATACCGAGAATCGTAGGACACGGTATGGACATACAGATCGTTTTGCCATTATGTTGATGAAATCCTTTTTCTTGTCGTTATAAAAAAAAAATTTCTCATTCACTATTAGACCAGTTGCTTTGGATTTTTCAGTGGGTAAAGATTATATTTTTTGGCAGAAGGCTAATACTCTTATTTATTTCCAATAGTTTCTCTGGGCCTTTTGAGATTCGTTGTTTGTGTGCAATGACGTCATAGAAATTAGAACGTGTGTACCTTGTAGCGGTTCCGCGTTCGCGATCTGATGGTCTGGCGGTACCGTGAGTCTAATGTAAAAGATTGGGTACTCCCGTAGTATGTGAACCAAGATGGCGGATACCGAAACGTAGTATGTGTACCAGGTTAGAGTAAGGCCACAATTTGAGGTACAAATAATACGAGAGTCACTTGGCTAGTCCCATAATAGAACAAAAATAGGAAAATTGGAATAAAATTATGGGTACTCGTGAAGTATGCGCCCCAAGATGTCGCACAACCTGAACCTTAACCTGGTACACAACCAGGAGTTCAGGTTGTGCGCCATCTTGGTGTGCATATTTCAGGAGGTCCAAATTATGGCCTTACTCTAACCTGGTACATATACTACGTTCCGGTGTCCGTCATCTTGGTTCACATACTTCGGGAGCGCCGAAGATTGCATACCAGTACTACTTCGATTTGGCTTACATGTCCATATATTTAATCATCGCTCTCTTGTTTGAAAATTTATTTGAAATTCCTGTGATTTCACATATCGTATTTGAAAGCATGGAATAATACTTATTTTTTGTGGTTTCGATATAACAGCTATATTTTAAGTGGTTTCGTTACAAAACATCGCTTTCAAGGAGGCTTATGTATCGTATTACTTGTCGATATTGAATATTGAAGTGTATTTGAAAACCACATTTATATACATGAGAGCAGTGTTTCTCAAGTTATGGATTACGACCAAGGATGAACATTTCCAATCGAATATTCGAATAGTACATTATTCAAATCGATTCCGAGTAAAATTTCGAATTGCCGCTATCTTTTTTTTTCTTCTTTTCGCCAATGGTCAAGTTAAAGGCGTATTTGTATTTTTTCAACACAATTCTGACGTATGAATATTTTCTGTAGTGAGTTATTGATAAAAGTGTGTTTTTTATTGTGTGTGAACGCTCAGCAATCTGTCTGAGTGATGCATGCTATCTTTTCAGTAATTTATGTGTCCTGAGAACGTAAAATAATAGGAAAGTTACGTAAAATTTATATCTCCC